TCACTTGGCATAATGCTTTTCTGATTCATCGGTCATTGCAAGTAGAGGTAGTTCCTTCCTTTCTATTATGGAGGTAGTAGTCCACTGTATCAAATTATAGCACAATTTTACGGGCATTTAGTTATTTCCAGTGTGTAGTGATTTTTTAATCAAGCTGTTATACACATTCACGAATAGGACTACTGGTGAATATGTGTTTTCAGTTGTGTGGGAAGTATATATGTTTGCCATTAGAAGAAATGGCAAACTCTTTTCCCAAGCGCATGTATTGTAGCCTTGTTTTTAATCCCTAGATAGAACTATCAATGACAACAAAGATGGATATAGACCATTATGGAAATAACAAGAACTCACTAATTGTGGGGAAATGGCTTCCTTTCTGTGGTCTTTTGCCTTGGGTCTTCAGGGAAAATAGCTTGGGATGTATTTCCTCTAGGCTTCAAAGAGTTAGTTACCTTTGTCCTAATTTTCTCCTTCAAAGGGTTTGTTACTTTTGCCAGGTTGATTGACATTTCCTGGGTAACTGGAGGGTTTTGTCTGACTCTGGGCTACAGCTTTCTCTGTAATTGGTATGCACCTTGCAGAGACTCCTCAATAGGCTATGCAAATGAGGTGAGTTGTAGGCTACTGTACAAATGAAGTATCTGCAGCCTACCAAGAGGGGAATGGTCAGGGTCAGGTTCTTGGTCCTGGTGGGGGCCTTACGCTTTGAAATCAAGAATAAGTTTGTGTATTTAAGCAGCTGGCGCCATTGATGCTTTGTGACAGGAAGAGAAACAGAAAAAGCAAGGATTTTTCTGAAAGACCAGTAACATGAGTCAAGGGCTATAACACACTGAAGATAGTGAGAGGCTCAGAAGGGGCCAAGGGGCAGAGGGCGGGGCTGAGAGGAGAGGAGCTGAGAGAGCTGGCCTGTGCTGGAAAAGGGAGATGTTAACCTGCGTGTGTCCCGATCCCGAACTTGCTCCTGTATAAATCTTTTAACTGTGTGGTCTGTAAGTGCTGTGTGGCCATTGCAACAAATGACTAAACACAGAAAGAAAGTAGACAGTTCTGTGGAAGAGATAGTTTGTAACAGAATCAGTAAAAAGGTAGAAGAGTGGAGGCATATTTTACCTCCACCTCATAAAGCAACCATTGTTCATAGGGTCTGTATGAATTGTAGTTGACTTGACGGCACATAACAACAATAACATAGGGATCAAGGGAACTCCAGGGGCAAAGTCTGTAGAGGGCTATGTTGCTAAGCCCAAGGCCAAAGTTTTCTGGAGCTTCAAATCCAGTAGCAGATCCCTGGGGAGAGAGAGGGGTAATCACTTCCTGTGAGATTTACAGCGTCAGGAAACCGGCTAGAGAGTCCTTGATGAGTCAGTTCTGACTTGACGACAACGAGTCACAGGGACCAGTCTTGGGCTGATTCTGAATTATACTCTCTGAAGTTAGATAGGATCTGGTGATGTGACAGACAATATTGCTATTATCACCAGTTCAGAGAAATTCAAATTATGGAATATTTATTATAAACAAAACTCTGCTCTCTCAGTAATTTAAGTACCAACTTTAACTCAAATGATTGAGGTAGAAGTGTCCACCTCTCCAGGGTGACCGGTTGACCCCATTAGCCTAGATTCTCTTGGGTTTTAGGACTAAAGCCCCTAGAAAGCCCCTGTGAGACCAAAGTGGGACAGCTGGACACACGGTGTCATCAGGTGCTATGCTGGGTGGTCTACATTCATCACATTTGATCCAGAGCCAGTGTCACAGGCTAGATTTCTTTGTCATCCTCTTGCATATAAGGAAACAGACCCAGAGAGCTTAAATTCTCTTCCTGGAGCCATGTTCCAGGGTACATGAAGCCAAATTTTAGCAGCAAGTCTGCAAGATTCTAAGCGCTGATGTCTCCCGGGGTAGTTGTGGTGTTAGATACCATCAAGTCATAGCTGACCCTCCAACGGGTTTGAGAGACAGGAAATCACACAAGAGAAGATAGTCCATCTTCCTCCCACGGTGGATTCAAACCACGAGCCTTTGAGTTGGCAGTGCAGCTTTTTACCACTAGGTCACCAGAGCTCCAGTAGACCTCAGTTTCTAGTTGTCCAGTTCTGGGGTCTCAGGTCTCTGGGCATAGCTCAGTGGGTGGGCCTGGTGGGGCTTTGCTGCCCTCTGGTGGCAGAGGCAGCACTCTGGGTCTTAGTCCATTCTGTGGGGCAGCAGGTGGCAGGGGAGAGTGCCCCTTGCCTTCCATAGGGTAACAACCCAAATCCAGCGTCTGCCCTAGGCTTGATTCTTCACTGTCACCGAGTTAATCCGACTTGTGACAGTCCATGTGTGTGCAGAGCAGAATTCTCTTTGTAAAGGTGTGACCTTTTGGAAACAGATTGTCAAGCCTGTAGGCCCAGCCACTTTGGATGGGTTTGAACCACCAACCTCCTGGCTAGTTGTCAGGATCTTAGCTTTTTGCACCACACAGCAACTCCTGGGTCTAGGTTAATCCATATGTGATTTTTTTGTGTGTGCGTGTACCGTCAAATCTGATCTGACTGGTACAGGAGGAGATTACCCCTCCTTCTCCAACAGAGCATCTGGTGGATTTGAACCACATACCTCTGGGATTGCAGTGCAGCTTCTTACCACTAGGACACCACAGCTCCCTTAATCCATATGTGATTTACATGCCCACTGAGGTCCTCGCAGACCCAGGGTCAGCTGGCAGGGCTTAAATCTCTATAATCCTGAGCTAGTCATTTGTGTGGGCCTCAGTGTCCTTGTACGAAAAATATATTCCATGTATTTCAAGCAGCCTTAACCATAGAAGCTGTTATTACCAGCCCTTCACATTCCCCCAGCTTTGTGCCTTCATTTACTTCACTTTCATCCAGCAGTTACCTGCCAAGCACCAGCTCTGTAACAGACCCTGAAGGTGCCAGGGACAGGCTGACCTGCCCTCTTGGTTGTATCACTCTCTGTTAATGCACTGCCTGTGTGTTCATTCATTGAGTGCCATGTATTTATCATTCATTCAGTTTTTCCCACACTCACCTCCTTACTCATTCACTCAGTCATCTCATTTTTACAGGGCAGCCATAAACTCCTTCCCTCCCTCCTTCCTGGCCTCCCTCATTGAGCTGTTTCCCCAAGCATTTTGGAAGCACTCGCCGTACACCACGGTCAGATGGTGGGATCCTGGTCCAGCCCTCCAAGAGCACTCAGCCTGATGAAGAAGCTGATGGTGAGGATGCACCATGGTAACGGCCTCACCTGTAGGACGTGGAGCCAAGGGAACATCAAGAAGGAAGCAACTGGAAGTGTATGTGGGGGGTGTATTAGGCAAAGAGTGCTTCATGGAGGAGGTGACATCTAAACCAAGCTATAAAAGGTGAGTGGGAGATTTCCAGGGAGAAAAAGACACTCCGGGTCAAATGTTGTGATGTGTGTGGGGAAAATCAAAGCATCCAGGGTCCTAGGGTGTGAGATTAGAGTGAATATGTGTGCATGGCCTCTGATTTCCACCAGCCAAGCCTTCCTTAACTTCCAGAGGCAAGTGGGCCACCCAAGGACTTATTCTAATGTGTCACCCCTGGCCTCGCTACCAGGCAGCCAAGACTCAGCACCCAGCGAGCTGATGTTGAATCCACTGAACACCCTCCATTTGTCCATCTGTCTGTCCTGTACGGACACAGTTGGAAAGCTGTCCTGGCCAAAGAGGCTGAGTATCAAGGTGATTGAACTCCAAGATCCAGAATCCATTCAGGAAATGTGTATTGAGTGCCATATTGTAATCCAGGCCTTGCCCTGGACATGAGGGATATCACAGGGAACAAGACAGAGCTCCCACTCTTTGTTGTTGCTTTGGTTCAGTTCTGACTCCCAGCAGCTCAGTGTAGACAGAACACTGCCTCACCTGGCGCCATCCTTGCAATTGTTGCTATGTTTGAGCAGTGTTGCACCCACAATGTAACCCATTCTCTCTAGGGGTTGACAAATGGTAAATTTGAACACCAACACCTATGCCCCAGGAATACTTTTTCTTTTTTTTTTTAGCTGCGCAGTTGCTGAAGACTGAACTCACCTTTACTAACAGTGTTTAAAAGGACTTACCAGGGGATTGGGTGACTTTGGAAAGCGTTCTAGTACATGCCATTCTACTCTGGATTTTCCATGTCTGGGAATCGATATAGAAAATGAAAGGAACGAATGTTAAGCTAAAGCTGCAAAGAAGCATCAATCACTCACGTTAGCCAGAATGAGAGATGTTTAGTTCTTTCCTGGCTTACAGTCGTATTCTTGTTTTCGCCCAAGTTAAAATATGATCGCAGAGTAGTCTTGTTTATGTCTTGATCGCCCAAGGTCACCAAGTGGCCTTGTGTGATGTCAGTGTTCCGCGAAATCGTTTATTTCCAGAAGGAAAACACCGAGGTCTAGCTCTGCGGGCAGCCCAGCAGCACATGTGAGACGCTGCTTTGCCCTTTCCATGAGAAGGCTCTTTGATTCAGCCAAGGTGTGGTCGCTGGGTGCCAGGTGCAGAGTAATTCCAGATGAACAAAGAAGATACGGCCCCAGGGCTCAAAGAGCTTCCAGTGACATATCTGGGAGGAGAGCTGAGAGTTAGAGACAGGAGGACAAAGGCCAGGGCCGGGAGGACATGCAGGAGAGGATGCTGAGAGCTCATAGCGGGTCTCCCGGTGCCTGGGAGGCAGGAAAGGTCACCTGGGGCCCGGCCACTCCGGGCACGCGAGGCCACCTCTTGCCCTTGGGGACACTCGGTTCGGATGCGCTGATTTGTTCTAAAACAGGAAATGAAATAATCAAGTGGCTTGGAGCGGGAAAAAACAACCCACGCTTGGGGTTTCGAGCTCATGAATATTTAGTAGGCGCCGTCGGGCTGGGGCTCGGCCCCGCCCCCTTCGTACGTAGGGCCGGCGCACGCGTAACCGCGCGCGGCTTTGTCGTCAGAGGTGCGCGCCGCCATTGCTTCCGCCCGCCAGGGCAAGATCGCTGCCATGGCGAGCTCGGCGGCCTCGTCCGTGCGACCGCCTAGGCCCAAGAAAGAGCCGCAGACGCTTGTCATCCCCAAGAATGCGGCAGAGGAGCAGAAGCTCAAGCTGGAGAGGCTCATGAAGAACCCGGTGAGACGGGGCGCGCGCGACAGGTCCCCCAATCCCCCTTGTATGTTCTCCGCCTCTCGGGTCCACCTGCCCGCCTCCTAATCTGAAGTTCAAAGCCCGGGGCCTCCTGGCCAGCCCGGGGTCCTTAGCCAAAAGTTAGGTCCTTAGGCTCGCTCAGAGGCAGTCAGCGCCCCATCTGTCCTCAAATTGGGTCCCAGCACTGATGACCCTGTGCGCCAAGACCCCTTCTAGGAGAACTTGCTTTCAAAAGGCTTAGACTGAAAAGTTAGAACCCGTGAGATCGCCCAAGGGTTTATTTTCTTCCAGATAACATTCATTGTTAGAAAAGCACTGTCCAAAACACTTGGCTGAGCAGAATCATAAAAGCGATTAATGAAGTTTCTTCATTCCTGCCCTTCAGTAGCGTTAAAGTCAGAGGTTTATAACTATTAACTGAGGAGTACATTTCTGAGTTCTACTCAGGAAAAAACCAGTACAACCCTGGTGAGGCTGTGGACTGTGAAATATTCCAGAAACTAGAGGATGAAAGAAAACCAAGACAGAGTGTGGCTGCGGGCCCACAGACGGTCACTACCCTAGTGAAAATTCTTGGATGTGATTCTGTCGACAGGGTCATACTTATAAATGGCTTTGTTTATAAATATTGCGTTTTCATTGTTGCAGGACAAATCTGTTCCAATTCCAGAAAAAATGAGTGAATGGGCACCTCGACCTCCCCCAGAATTTGTCCGGGATGTTATGGGTAATGTCCTCTGTGTGTGTAAATATTTGTTTTCAGTTTTGTTTGTGTTAGCTTTGTGTAGTCTTTGTGCCATCTCAGGTTACTGGGCAGGCGTGCCCTTGCGTTGTTGGTTGCCACTTCCAACTTACAATAACCCCTTGTGCTCCTCTGAACCAGGTTTTCAAGACTGTAGCCTTTCAGAAGCAAGGTCTTCCAGTGCACCCCTTGCTTAGTTTGAACTGCCAATCTTTTTGTGCATGTTTGCGGCATTCAGAGACTCCTTTTGGAGACTATTGTTGTTATGTGCCGTTGAGTTGCTTGGGACTCATAGTGACCTATGTACAACAGCCTTAAATCCTGTTCTATCCTGCCAATCTTATGGTCTCTGACACACCTACCCTCATTAGGTGTATCAGAGACCCTGAATCAATCCATCTCATTGAGATAGTTTTATTATTACTATTTTTGGATTCCACCACCAATCCTGATTGGTGGACGATTTATCAACAATCTGCGTTATGCAGATGACACAACCCTGCTTGCTGAAACTGAGGAGGACCTGAAGCACCTGCTGCAGAGTGTCAAGGACTGCAGCCTGCAATATGGATTGAGGCTCAATGTCAAGAAGACAAAGATTCTCACCACTGGACCAATCGGCAGCATCAGGATGGATGGTGAAGAGATTGAGATTGTACACAGCTTTAGTCTGCTTGGCTCCATAGTCGACAGTCTTGGCACCAGCAGCCAGGAAATTAAAAGGCGCATTGCCATGGGAAAGTCTGCTGTTAGGGACCTCTCCAAAGTGCTGAAGAGCTGTGGTGTCTCTCTGGAGACTAAGGTGCGTCTGATACAGGCCATAGTCTTCGCAATCACCTGTTATGCATCAGAGAGTTGGACAATGACCAAGGAGGATAGAAGGAGAACTGATGCCTTTGAGCTGTGGTGCTGGAGAAGAGTACTGAGAATACCATGGACTGCTAGGAATACAAATAGATTTGTCCTGGAGAGGGTTAAACTGGGTGGCTCCTTGGAGGCAAGGATTCTGAGGCTCCGTCTAACTTACTTCGCACATGTAGTGAGGAGAGACCGGTCCTTGGAGAGGGACATCATGCTTGGGAGGGTAGAGGGACGGCGCAGGAGAGGAAGGCCCCCTATGAGGTGGATTGATTCAGTGACTGGGATAATTGGGATGGGAGTGTCAGAGACAGTGCGATGGGCGCAGGATAGAGCGGAGTTTAGGGCTGTTGTACATAGGATCGCTATGAGTCGCAGGCGACTCGACGGCACATAACAACAACAACAACATTTTTGGATTATAAATTTGTTGATACTAATTGGAAAATACAAATAAATTGACTCATCTGTAACAGCATCATTCTACTTAGAATATTCTAGTGAATACTTAACAGTGAGAGCCAGTCCTGATTAATAAAATATTTATTTTTATTTTTCAGTGTGTGTGTGTGTGTATGTATGTATGTATGTATGTATGTACGTACGTGTACCGTCAAATCAGATTTGACTGGTACAGGAGGATATTGTTCCTCCTTTTCCAGCAAAGCATCTGGTGGATTTGAACCACACACCTCTGGGATTGCAGTGCAGCGTCTTGCCACTAGGCCACCAGAGCTCGCCAATAAAATATTTTTTACAAAAATACAATTATTTGTACACGTGCTGGTTTGTAATCTACTTTCCCCCCATAATACATAATGAGAATTTTTTTAATAATGTACCATCCAGCTTGTCCTGTGTGAAATCATCTCGAGTGGAAAGGCACAGGTTGTCTCTATGTGACTGGTCCCGAACCACGGTCTTCTATTCCACTAATATGTGTTAGGGTGGAAATTGACATGACTTTGCACTTAACATTCACACAGGAACTATTTAATAATGTAATTTATATGCCAACGTGCTCTGCTAGTACTTTGCGAGTTGTACTGCTAACGGAAGGGTCAGTAGTTTGAATCCACCAGCAACTCCATGTAAAAAAGAAGGGCCATCTCCCCTGTAAGAAAGTTTATACCCAGGGAAACATGATGGAAGGTCCCAGTGAGTTGGAATGTACTCAGTGCCTGGCATGTCACATAAAAACAAAAACAAACTCACTGTCACTGTGCTAGGCTCTGGGGTGTCATACAAGAGCAGGGGAGAAGTAGGCATAGTCCCCTTTACTTCAGTTTCTTTCTTTAACCCCTTTTTGTTTAAGGCAGAGTGTGTTGTTAAAGAGCTCTGCCCTGTCCCGACTGCAGGTTCCAGCGCCGGAGCTGGCAGTGGTGAGTTCCACGTGTACAGACACCTGCGCCGCAGAGAGTACCAGCGGCAGGACTACATGGACGCCATGGCCGAGAAGGTGAGTGAGGGAGTAGGTGGACCGAGGCTGTGGACTTGGGCATTGTGTTCCTGCAGCCTTTTAGAAAAATGTTTGTCAAGAATAATTACAATTTGGAAATTAGTTACAGCTGGTCATGGCTTGCGTGAGGACTGCCTTCTAAAGTTTGCACAGAAAGCAGGTATCAGGCCAAGTCCAAGTTATTTCTCAGTTTCAGCACAGCAAGATACTCCCGCTCAGGGAGGCATGACGACGAGTGACTCTTGACGGACTCAGAAGAGCAGAATAGATTCTCCTCTCCATCCTGGCCTTTGAAATGGAATGAAGTAGAATTTCTCACATCTGTCTCCCAGTAGCTTTTTCTTTCCTTCCCTGGCTCGGACCTAATGCCTCTATAATCCCAGTTCCTGTGTCTTTGGTATACCTAGTGATGTTCTCTCATGCGTTTGCTTCTTTGAGGACTTGGCTTTTCTAACTTAACGACTCTCCGGGAGCTCTGGTGACACAGTTCATAGTGCATTGCTCTGCCAGGCAGCAGGCCACGTCTCCAGTGGTTAGAATACACCAGTTGGCCCACGCCACCGCGCACACCATGGGAGCCGTGACTGACAACGAAGTCATCCAGAAGCGTCTGCTAATTGATGGAGATGGTGCTGGAGATGATTGGAGAATTAATCTGTTGGTGAAGAGTTTCATTAAATGGTGCAACTCTGGATCCCAGGAAGAGGGATATAGCCAGTACCAACGTATGCTGAGTACACTGTCACAATGTGAATTTTCAATGGGCAAGACCTTGCTTGTATATGACATGAATCTCAGAGAAATGGAAAACTATGAAAAAATTGACAAAGAAATAGAATGTAGCATCGCTGGAGCACATGAAAAAATTGCTGAGTGCAAAAAGCAAATTCTTCAAGCAAAACGAATACGAAAAAATCACCAAGAGTACGCTGCTTTAGCCAAAGTAATCCAGCATCATCCAGACAGACATGAAACATTAAAGGAATTAGAAGCTCTGAGAAAAGAATTAGAGCATCTTTCACATATTAAAGAAAGTGTTGAAGATAAGCTGGAATTGAGACGGAAACAGTTTCATGTTCTTAGTACCATCCATGAACTTCAGCAAACACTAGAAAATGATGAAAAACTCTCAGAGTTAGAAGATGCTCAAGAAACAAGCATGGAATCTGATCCTAAGCCATAGACAAACTAAGGACTCAGCAAGAATATTGAACTAGTTTCATGATCTTAGCATGTTTAGAAATTATTATGGTCTTCACCATAATAATATGGTCTTGAGATATTTACATTTTCTAACAGTGACTTAGCATTTTAAATTAATGCACATTTTATTTGTATTTCTGCACAAAAAAGGACAGCGAATTCATTAAAAAGAGGGAAGCTACAGTCCAAAAATGTTTAATAAAGTGTTTTTGAGCAATAAAAAAAAAAGAATACACCAGTTGTTTCAGGGGAGAAAGATGAGGCATCTGCTTCTGTGTAATTTATGGCCTCGGAAACTCAATAGAGGGTCAGCTGTGGGTTGGTTCTGACTGAGTGGCGGTAAGTGAATTTGACTGGCCATAGTATATTTAGTATTTTTCACCAGTAGCACAATTCAGAGGCTTCTGTAATCAGTACTCCTTTGATCTTTCTTAATTATTGTCCAGCTTTCACACGCAATTGAAATGACAATGGCTTGGATTGGACATACTTTAGTTCTCAAAGAGACACCCTTGCTCTTCGATTTGCCTGGTGCAGCATGTCTTTTGCTTTTTTTTTGTTTTTCCCAGAAATTATTTTTTCATTTTAATGAAAGTTTGCAGAGACTTTGGATTCTCATTCATTCATTGTTGCACACTTCCTGCCTGCCCACCCCTCCCCCCAGTTCATTTTTCTCTTTGAAAAGTAAAAAAATTATTTCATAGTTGCACAATTCTCCCTCCCCACCCCAGTCCACTCCACTATTCTGCTTTCATTCTGAACTCTTGTCATGACAATAATACCTGATCATATATTCCTCCTAAACAGTTCTCTTCCTCATCTGTTTCTATGCAGTATACATTATGTATCCCCTCTTAGATTCCCTCCAACTCCAATGTCAGTCCTGCTTTACCACAGTGGCACCATGCAGTACTTGTCCTTTTGTGACAGAGATATTTCAGTCAGCATAATGTCCTCCAGGATCACTCATTTTGTAGAATATTTCATGAGTTCCTTGTTTTTCAGTGCAGCATAGTATTCCATTGTGAGAATATTCCAGAGCTTCTCTAGCCATGCATTTGTTGGTGGGCACTTGGATTGTTTCCAGCTCTTTGCTATTGTGAACAGAGCTGCAATAAACATGTGTGAGCATATATCTGCTTGGGTGGCAGTTCTGGTTTCTTTAGGGTGTCTTTGCTTTCTTGACTGCTGCTTCTATGGGATTGATTGTGGATCCAGGCAAAACGAAATCCTTGGTAACTTCAATCTTTTCTCCATTTATCACGATAATATTTATTGTTCCAGCTGTGAGGGGTTTTGTGCTTCAGTTCATCTTCATTTTCTGTAAGCAAGGTGTGAAACCTGTACATCACAAGTTAAAGTGTTTGGTAGGTGCTGTTGAGTCGACTGCGACTTAACAGCAAACCCGTGAACAGCCGATGGAAACTTCGCCCTGAGTCTTCCTCAGATCCTGACATCCTGTTCTTCCAGCAGCCCCATTTCTAGGGTGATTTGCTTAGCACACAGCTTAAATTAGATGCTCACCTTTCCTGACTTAAAGCCGTGCAAATCCTCTTGTTCTGTTGGAATGATACCCACCCTCCTGAGCATTTCACATACGAGCTCTCACTCACTGCATGAGAGGAGAGTGGCCATTCTTCTCCTGCTGCTCAGGTTGGTTGGTGGTACGTTCTGTCTTCAGTGGCGCGGGGGAAACAGGCTCAGCTCAGCTTCCAGATAAACCAAGTGCTTTCAGGTTTAAACGGTTCACTTTCTAGTTTGTCAAGGCTTTTTTTTTCTATAATTATATTTTATTAATTTTCATAAACATTTATAGAGATT